AATCCTTGACAACTTCAATCTTTTCTCTGTTTATCATGATGTTGCTTATTGGTCCAGTTGTGAGGACTTTTGTTTTCTTTATGTTCAGGTATAATCCATACTGAAGGCTGTAGTAGTCTTTGATCTTTATCAGTAAGCGCTTCAAGTTCTCTTGACTTTTAGCAAGCAAGGTTGTGTCATCCGCATATTGCAGGTTGTTAATGAATCTCCCTCCAATTCTGATACCATGTTCTTCTTCATATAGTCCATCTTCTTGGATTATTTGCTCAGCACACAGACTGAATAAGTATGGTGAAAGGATACTATTAGATTTATTAGAAAACTGTTATTGTAAGTACAGCATTTTCTGTGAGCTCTGTAGTCATTCTAGCGAATTACTGAACCTGAGGGAGTAGTGTGAGCCAGCAGGTCAGAAGTGACGGCACTGGGAACCCCTGAGCTTACAGCTGGTATCCTGAGAGGCTAGAGGGATTTGTAGCTAGTAGGTCAGACGTGAGGAAGGCCAGGAGAACCCCCTCCCAAGCTTGTGACTGGCATCCTGATAGCGAGAAAATCCCAAACTTGTAGCCAGCAGGTCAGAAGTGTAGGTACAATGGGGTCACCTAAGCTTGCAGCTGGTGTCTGAAGTCTTGGGCCTATTTGGCAGTCTGGAAGACTGTGTCTTTTAACTTGTGAGATGTTACGTAGCTTTGGGTGGCTAGGGTCAGAGAAAGAAGTGGTACATGGGCAGCTGGTGTCAGAACTGAACAAAGGAATGGAAAAGTGAGGATGTGATTTATGTTGATTATGATCCAACTTCATTCTTTTGCATGTGGATATCCAGTTGTCCCAACACCATTTGTTGAAAAGACTATTTACTTTTTCCCGACTGAACCATCTTGGCTTAACAATAATCTTTTGAATTCCAAATTTCTCCTTAAGGTAGATGGTCATATTTAAGAGTCCGTAGAAAAGCTTCCGAGAGACTCAGTTTTCAAAGATAAACTTGTGGGATTCTAAAATGGTTTTCATAAAGAACTTCAAAGACTACTTACACTACAGTGATGCCCCAAAATACCTTGCAATCAAAAGGATAATATCTGTATTAAATAAACTGTCTTGTGTGAAAAGAATATGTATTACACAGGATTCCTTTTAAAGAACACTGATTATATCTACATAAAATAGTGTTCAGACAGCCAACTCTAAGCCCTAGGAGCAATATGAAGCTTTTTAGCACTTCAGATTTGTCCTATAAAAGCAAAGAAATTAAAAAGTATCAGTTTATGTTATTATGCAATTAAATGAACACCTTTATGATGGTCATCACAAAACTGATGGATTTTTAAAGACATGAATTTAAACAGAAACTAGGCAATGAGTCTGAAATATGGAGTTTTTAAATTCTGCTTCTGCCACATACAAACTAGGTGACCTTGAGCACATCACCACCTATCTCAACCTCAGTTTCAGCATCTGTGAAATGAGCTATCATCTTCTATCTGTTGTAACTTAACTTGGCAGAATTTAATGATAAAATCATACATAAAAATGCTTATAATGGTGCCTGGAAGATAGCAGGCACTTACTATTAGTTTCCTGTTCTTTTAAGATCAGTAACTGTATCTTACATAAACAATTTTTTCTACCTTGGCTATGTATTTCTCCAATATACCACCATAATTTCTTTTTTAAAGGGTACTTCTTGGCAAAATGAACTAGATAAATACACGCTTTTTTTTACTTACAAGGACAGGAGTGATGCTAGCTCTTGTCAGCATCTGCTTTACAAGTCTGTATCTATCATAGAGAGGTTTAACAATGTGCCTTTCTTCCCTGGTCACCTGAAACAAGAAAAAAGGAAATCAACTAGTCATTAGAAATCTAAAATGTCCAAAACATTAAACAATTTATGATTTTACCTCCAATTTCTAAAAGTTTATTTTAAATAAGTAAGCAATCACCCAAGTGTAGAAAACAATGCTCTATAAAATAGCTCTGAAGAATAGCACAGAAGTAATTGATGTTCTTTTTTATGATAGCAATTCAAATCTTTTTACGAGAGGCATTACCGGCCTTCCATGTTGACTTTCATAGTATAGAAGACTTTTCTGGAGAGATGTTTTCTCTTCTACCAAATGGTCTTTTGTCATTTTCTAGAATTAAAAAACAAAACTCCCATTGGCATCATTATTATTATCCTCACTCCCACAATGTAAATAATTAGGTTGAAAGGGCAGCACCTCACCATCCTGGCCCAGGTTAATAAGAATGCATCCTTTGCTTATGAATTTGCAGGCAACACTTTCCAGTGTCCTATAGAATCTGTCCTTCTAATATGTAGGGACCAACCCCCTCTGGTGGCTGGATTTATATTTTATCTGAATATATTATGAATACTGACTTCGTGACTTTGAGCAAGTTACTTAACTTCTTTGTGTTCATTATCTTAATCTGTAAAATGGGGATACTACATCCTACCTCACAGGGCTCTAACGAAGACTAAATGAGTTCATAAATGCAAAGTACTTAAAGCTGTGCCTAGCACACAGTAAGCACACATAAATGCGTGTTATTTTATTTAATCTTGTACATAGTCTTTTCTTAGCACCAAGACTAATGGACACACACATACACACAAAATATACACGCATATACACCATCGGTTTTATAATCGAGTATTTCTCCTAAACTGCTAAGAAAATCTAGCAGCAATACAGTGGATAGATCCTGGAAAAACCTCAACAATGTTAATTTATGACCTTGGACTGTGAGGTGGGAAAAGGGAGTTGTTCTCTAACGTGAAATTTAGAAGAAAAAAAAAATGTCAAGGGCAGGGGATTCTATGACTTCAGTTTTTCTTCATCTGCGTCGTCACTTTCTTTACACTATACACTCTTCTTTCTTTACACTATAACACTCTTCTCAAATATTTTCATATTCTAAATGGCAGAGTAGGGAGGACTTACTTGCTTATAGAACCTCCCCACTTTGTTCCATAAAATCACCTATTAGCATTCCAATGAACCAATCAATGTTCCACAGAATACTCTATAACACTACACCAAATCAACTCTCTACATATTCCCAGGAATTTGAGTTAATATCGCCCTATCTCTTACCAGAGTGACATCAGAGGTAAAAAAAAATTCACCGGATAATATCTTTCTATAACAAATATCATTTTAGATTATATACATTCAGTAGAGGATGGCTGGGTGTAGTCTCTATGAAACACTGTGATTTCAACAACCGTAAGCTTGAAACATAAACTTTCAATAAGGAATCTGAATAAAGCTAATCCAATCAAAATTATTTATAGGAGAAAGAAGACTGTGAGGTGGGAAAAGGGAGTTGTTCTTAACATGAAATCTGAAAACAAAAAAATGTCAAGGCTAAGGGACTAGAATTACTAATTCAGCTCTATCCAAAGGAGAGAAAGACTCCAATATTTAGATCATGAGACAGGTATACTCTGTTGTCAAGACAGGAATGTACATCATCAGGGCTCACCACTACCTGGACAAAAGTTCACCTGAGACCATCTACCTCTCTGCTTTCCCAGCAAATTTCATCTGACAAATGATTTAGGTTGCCAAGTGCTTTGACCACAACTGTAGTAGGCACAGGCTTTACTGAATAATAGAAAAAGTGTGTAGCAGGGCTGTTCTACAGACTACTCTGGGCAAAAACCATAGCTCAAGATTACTTTGATATCTTCTGGAAGACACCTCTCAACACGCTTTTCTTTCAGTCTTTTCAGAATAAGTTCAAGTGTTGCTTCCTTGGATGGCTTCTTCTCCTTCTGAATGACCCTGGATTCATCTTCACTTTCTTCATCATCATGGTCTAGAGAAGAGCCAAAGCTTTTTGGAAGAGTGTTACTACGTGGACGTGTCTGAGGTACAAATTCTCCATCAGAACTTTTGTGTTTTGCATCTACAATTCAGAACCAAGAGAACAGATCAATAATTGTGATTTTAGCTAAAATGTGATTAAGTTAAAAGAGTAAAAAAGATTTACAACACACAACTGTACAATAATAGCACATAGCCTTGGATATTTCAAAGCCACATGGAATATTTAAATTTTATAGACAGCAAGGGAGCTATACTATTTATTCTTTCAACCAATATTCACAGGAAGTCTACTATAAAGTAAGATGCTCTGCTGAGCCTTATAGATACAGTAGTAAATAAAAAAGACATGGCACCTGTTCTCATGGAGTGTATATTCGGGGAAGGAAAAACAATAACCAAGAAATCAGATTAATAAAATAATTTCAAAGAGTAATAAGTGCTATAAAGAAGATAAAACAGGATGATGTCAGAGTGCTGAAAGAAGTGTGCTTTGTGGAGGAGCAACTACAGTGGTTTGGACTGAGAGAGAAGACTTTTCTGAGATGGTAACATCCGAGATGAGTATGAAATGATAAGAAAGCCCTAAGCTAGCATAGAAGATTTTGGGGAAGAGCATTCCTCCCCAAATGAGGCAACAGCCTATGTAAAGGCCCTAAGGATTAGCATGTTTAAGGAACAGAAAAAGGAAAGAAAGTAATGTAAAATGTGCTAAGGGCCAGAGTGTGCAAAGCCTTAAAGGCCATACTAAGGAGTAAAGAGCAGAAAGGGAAGCCCACTAAGGCAATATGATTTTTTAAAAAGGTAATTTTGGCTGCTATGCAGAGAATGGACTATAGGACAGTTACAGTAGAAGAAAACTGAGAAACTAGTTAAGAGGCTAATGCTAGTCAATTTAATGACCATGTTTAATAAATCAGTAACGTAGTCAAGGTAGTGATTTTAACTAATGGTTGGAAAGTGACATTAAACAAGGAAATGCTTAACAGAATTACAGGGGGAAATAAACCAATATCCCAAAGAAAAGTTAAGAGACCTTAGTTTAACCACAGAAATGTAAACTCCATGATAGTAGGGACTATGTTTGTCTTGTTTATCCCCAGTCTAGAAAGTACATGGTACCCAAAACCCAAAACCAAACCCATTGCCGTCAAGTCAATTTCAAATCATAGTGACCCTACAGGACAGGGAAGAACTGCCCCGGAAGGTTTCCAAGGCTATAAATCTTTACAGAAACAGACTGCCACATCTTTCTTCCATGGAGTGGCTGGTGGATTTGAACCACTGACCTTTGTTAGCAGCTGAGCGCTTTAACCACTGTACCATCAGGGCTCCTTCATGGTACCCAAGAGATACTAAAAATTTTGTTGAATAAATTCATATGAACAAATTAAAATGTGATGCTCCAGATCATAAACCCATACCTGGCACAGACAGTTTTTCAAGTATTAAAAATTATTAAAAAGCATACTCTCTAAACACCCACAAAGTAAATGTACCTTAACAATGCCATACTAGGCTGACACACAGAAATATAAGTCCTAGTTTTCAACTTAAGAAGACTTAACAGTTAGTCTTTTAGTATAAAAGACAGTATCAGTCTGAGATGAAATACTCACCAAAAAAACCTTAATAAAATACCTACCAAAAACCTAAACTTAATATTTAGAATACCTCAGATAAATGTTATAAAATCAGTTCATCTACAAATGTACAATGTAGGGCATCTTTCAAAAGAATATTACTAATAAAAACACAGGAAAGACATTTTGAAGAATACAGTATAATAGATTTTCCATCTCTTAGTATACAACTTTTATTCTAACAAAAGAAAAAACTTTATTTTTGCCAAACAATATTATCAAATATTGTTTAAATATTTGATTATCAAAAATTTATAATTTTCATAGTCCCTGTTATATGGAACGTTTTTAAAATGAAAATGTATTACAAAAATGGCACGTTTGATACCTTTAATTTGCTTCCGCAGTTTGGTAAGCTCTGTCATCCATTTTAATACCTTTGGATTGGCTGCAATATCACTGTAGGAGGGCTGAAAATTTAAGGAAAGGAATCACTGACACCTGTGTGTGGTAAGCAGTGCCTATGTTAATTTATGTCCAAGCAGCATTTTACAATTCCCACATCAAAGATTTCACTCAATCCTCATTTCATCTTATCTTATTTTAAGCGGGAGGGTGAAAATGTTAAGTAAAGCTCTCCCAGGGCAGGGTCTTAGTAACTGGCAGAAGCCAGATTTGAATAGGACTATTTCTATTTCACGTTCTAATTATTAAACACACACACACGCCTGCACACACATATCCTGTTAGTACTTGTGGCTTTTGAGGAACAGAAATAGCATTAACATGACTTGTCAATGTAAAGTATTTGCTTTAAAAATTCTAAAAGTTGTTTTGCCAATGGTAATATAAAGATGCAACAGTACAATGGCAAGAATACAAAACAACAACAAACCAAACCATTGCCACTGGCCTGAAAATCAGGAGGCTAAGAATCTACACGATCTCAGATCTATATGATCTTTATTTCTCTGGGCATCTCAGATTCCTTATCTCTCTCAGGACAAAGCTAGACTAATGCTCTCCAAAGACCCTCCTCCTAGTTCTTGTATTATATATAGCTCATGCTGGGCAATGCTATGAACTTACCTTGCTATTTCTTTCCCTTTCAAACTGTTCCTCAAATTGTCTGATTTTTTTCTGAAGTTTCTTGACCAACTGATATGGTGTTCTGTCTTCTCTTTTTTCATCTTTTGAACTAAAGGATGATCTTCGAATCCTGGATGAAAATGAGAGGTCAACATTGTGTTAGTCATATTCTCAGGTATCAACACCGTATCTCTCACGGCCCTGGTGTAACCTGACACTGTTACCAAGAAACCTACTTTAAAGTGAGATTAAAGTCCCTAATACTAAGGGGTAGGTAGTAAAAAGAAACTTAACACAGTGTTAGAGACTACAAAATTAAGTAACATAAATGGTCATGAAAAGTTTAAAATCATTCAAAAGTTGTTTAGACAAAGAAAGATACCTAGGGACTCAGAGCTGTTCTGATGTTCAAACTGCAAGAGAAACTTTCTGACATTCAGAGTCTATTTAAAGTTTTGACAATAAAGACATTAAGGACTGGTGAAACTCTACCTTTCAGAATTCTGTATTTTAGTCATGAATAAATGAATGAATAAATGAGTGAATGAGTACATTGTGAGAAAATGTCTTTCTATTAGAAAGCAAACTCCAAAAAACTACCCCTCATCAAACTGAGAATTTAATAGAGAGGGACCAAAAAGCATGAAAATCACAAAAATGTGCTTCACGAAACAGGGGAGATGAAGTGTTGAACTGTAGGTCTAGAGAACTATCTCTCTCAGAGGACCTGAGTACTTAACAGGAACTGGCTCTCATAAGTACCTAAAAATCATATACCTGGCAAAACAAAGTGCTTTAGATGAGGAATCCAACATTTCTGGATCATGTAGGAAACGCTGGCTTTGCCCAAAATCTAAACTACGGTGTGATAATACTGGAGGACAGTCCTCTTCCAAGGGATGATGATTCATTCTTCCAGCTTGTGGAGAGAGCTGAGCTTCTCCAGACTCAGAGTCCTCCTGCCAAGACTTAAAAGCAGGAAATGGATCTGCAAAACAAACACAAAGAACAGTACCATGGGTCTCTTGATTCCACATGGGAAAAAAGTCACAAAGTATCAGCTGTATATTCTTTAAATCATATCATTATGAAGTAGTTCATATACTGTTATATATTTATTTAAAAACAAGGACTATTAGGATATTTATAAAGCCTACTATAATTTAAAATTATCTGAGCTTTATTTTTTAGCCCAGAGTTGTATTTTCAAATAAGGAGTTATACCTAAAATTTCTGAACCCAGTGGCAAAGCAAGTAAAGACACTGTCAAGCTCTTCAGAATTATATTAGTTATTTTTAAAGTAGGGAAAAGTCTTCACTTAGAAACACTGAACACTCAACAGTCCTTAGTTAAGAATTAAACTTAAGAGCTAAATCCTGTCAGGTGAATAAATTGTACCTCGCTGTCAAGTAGCAATGTTAAAAAGATGCAGAAGCTCTTCTGCATTCAAGAGGCTACACAGTTCACCAAATGGAGCTCTTTGACTCTAGAATAATTCTAACATTTCCAAATGAACAGCTAACTCACCTGACAACACCTGGCCTCTAACATTACACTGTGGTGGTTATCTCCTGTTACGGGATTCCTATGTAACGCCTATGCAGTTAAACACTCAACAGTATTATCAAGACAAAACTTAACAGCACTAGTCTTTCTTAAGCACATTTATTTTACTGGAGTTATCCTGTATGTTCTCAAATGAAGTCAAGTTGACATATCTGAAGTTTTTGCACACATAAGGTTTAATTACATATAGAACACATACAGATATACACACAATCTATAACATATCCCAAACATAAAATTAAATTCAAGCATCACTGGAGACCAGGATGGGGGGAGGAATTGTATATATAAACACAATTTAAAAATTTGATGCTATGGCTATTAACAATAGAAAAAATGAATTTTTAAGTATTTTTTTTAAATGCAAAGATAGCTTGACAGTGTCAAAATCCAAGAGTGATGTTTTCTTTTTCTTCACAAAATAGCTAAGGACTGTGGTTTTAGTAGTTTAGTTTAGCATTTATGCATTAGCAATTTAAAACATTACTTTTTTATCAGGGTAATAACATAATTTGGTTAGTTTTTGAAGCCCAGATCAATGTGGTAACTAAAAATTGGATACAAAGCGTGCAACCCCACAATAAACCCAGCAATAAAGTGGTATTCAAAGCAACCCTTGTACCTGCTTCCCAGCAAATAAGCAACTGGTAACAAATATTTTATGTGAAATCTCCTGTTTTAAGAAAAGAGGGAAATAACAAAAACAATTTTCTCTGGGTATCATTTTTAACCCAGAGCAGTGTTCCTAGGATATAGGGGCAGCAGGAGAAGGGCTAATAATAAGGCAAACAAAGTGAACCATAAAAAGGCAAAAAAAAACTAAACTATGGTGAACCATACTTACCCTCCCCATCTCTCTGCAGATGCATTGTTTTGAAATCAATGAGGGGAAAAGTGATAGGGCATGACGCTAATAAAATGGGAAAAAATGGCAAAAAATACTAAAGTGAACACACAGCACAGTCAGAACAAACCATACACATAACTAACACAAAGCCAAAGATACCAAAAAACATTTCCCTAAAACCAGTTAAGTACTCTGCTCAAAAACTTTATTCAAAGAAATTACTACTAACCAAACTTTTAAAACACACGCAGCATACATTTCCATTTCAGCAAGCAAGGCAAAAAAATCATAGTGCTGTTTTATTAAAACTCAAGCATAAAACTGAAGAAATGGAAACTCTTAACCAGATACAGTTTGAAGCTTTTCAGTAGTCTTGATTTGACCAGGGGGGACCTCCTTTAATTTGCTCTTCAAAAAAATCCTACTGTATTTCATTCCAGAGTAAGCAGGAGAAAATCTGAAGAAAAGATGGTGTCCATTTCCATTAAAAGCCAAGACCTCTTGAATAGCTGCTACCAATTCACGATAGTGGTAGTCACGTGCTACCTGCTTGCTAACTGCATTCTGCTGACTACCCTTTGGGCAATACGAAAAACAAAAACCACACACGTAGGAATAGTGAAGTGGCCTTCTATTTGGAGCCTTCACTAAGAGTCACATCAAACAGGTATATTTCTGATTCCAAAGTATCCAGGGTCTAAAGTAATTTGGTCTCTTAAGGAAGAATTTTCTACTTAGAATATCCTAACCCCTAGCTGTGGAAAAATGAGTCTTTGTACCAGGAGCAAAGTTGGAAACAGCTATCTGCTAACAGCTACTCTTCAGAGCACATGAAGGGCTCATGGCTGGAAAGTTCACTCTGCTGTCTACCATCTGACTTTCTGAGAGTCATTGACTCTAATTCCTGGAAGAACCAGCAGGAAAGCTACATGGACTTGTCATTGCTTTTGAACCAGGTGGATAACAGGGTGGCCCAGGCACTGAAAATCAGGGATCAGTAGTCCATATGTTGCCTCCTTTCCCTATCACAAGATGTAGAGGGTGGATTAACAGGGAAAGCCCAGTGTCAGGTTCCCTTTGGAGGTGGGGGGGTAGGGGGACACCTCCAGAAAGCTAAAGCTACACAGAGAATGTTCAATCTCCCTCAGACAATGGAAAATAATTGTTCTTCTATGCTTAAAACTTAAGATCAGGACCTCCAAAGATTGTAAAGGGCTACTTATTATCTGCATCCTCTAAGGGGCAGAAGCGTAAGGGTTTAACAGAATCCCAGCTTCATTTTTCAGAGATTACATTCCTACTGAGGCTCCAAGGATGTGCTGCTGACCACCACTCCTTTTCAGTGACAATGCCAGGATAAATAACTAAAAAGGATATTCGATCTTCACCACGATCAGTACACTAACATGTCCCCTAAATCTGGGGAACATCTTCATGAATTCCAAACATCCTGAATAAGCCAGAACAAAGCAAAGACAACTTTCCAATTTAGTCAAGAGTTAATACACATAATATGCCACTGGGTATTCCAAACATCAAGATCAAAAAAAGGGGGGAGGAGAGTGAACAGTAATAAAGATTGGCACAGACAAAGACTTGGTTGGAGCCTTTAAAAAAAAACTGACTAGAACTTAAAAAGAAGAAGAAAACAACTCCAAATGTGATCAGGTGAGTACATTTAAGGTGGTAAAAGGAGTTCACGGCATTGCAATTTCTCTTGCTATTGCCACCATATGTCATCAGATAACTGGCAAAAGATAAGACAACCCAGGGATCCTCATCCAAGTGAGCAAATATGTATTTCTGTTTAAGATTCCTGAGATGTCTCTTTGTCACTTTACCTAAGAAAGTGAGTGATCCAGACAGACCATTGGGTCCAAATTTGCTGCTTGTTTTTCCCCCCAACATTTTATTTGGAAGTTTATAAACATAGAGCAAAGCTGAATTTTACAGTGAGCATCCATATGCCAATCAACCAGATTCTATGTTAACATTTTACTGTACTTGTTTTATAACATTTATCCATCCCATTAACCACTTTATTTTTTTCATGGATTTCAAAGTAAACTGCATATTATCAGTGCACTTCCCCCTAAACACTGCAGCATGCAAATCATTCACTGGAGTTTAGTATTTGTTTATAGGTTCTTTTTTCTATTGACGTAAAAAAATGGTAGACAATTAAATGTAAAACTCTTAGTGTATATTTGTTGAGTTTTAACAAATGCATACACTCATGTTGCTTGCTTTTGAAATTTAAATCTTTCCTCTTCTTTGTATCAACTGTTAGCACCCCTCACCTTCATACCCTAATACCGGGATGAGGAATATGGTACAGGATCTGCTGAAGAACTCTTGAAGATCATTTAAAAAAAAAAAAAAAAGAACACCACTCATGATCATAAAGGCAGCTATAAACCCTCTGTTTAAAATGGTGAGTCCAAGGCCTTAACAAAGACTGGGAGATGTCTCTAGTATGTGGTTTCACAATTAACAAAAGCCTATCTGAGGGTGATTTTATTTTTTAATTAATCAGTTCTAACATCTATCTTCAAATCCATTGATCAAATAGGAACCTCTAGTTCATACAAGATAGCTGCCTCATAATCTCATTAACATATTTTAATATAAGCAAACATTCACTCATGTTATATGAAAGGAAGAACAGAGACCAAGATGAATAAGGCTGTCCAGAAAAGGCCAGTAATCTCATTGCTTTGGATAACTTGTTACAAATAGCATATTAGGAAAAATAATGTGTGCAGGTAAAATTACCTTCCCATTTATCACCATCAGAAACATTCTTCAGATCTAAATGTGGAATTTGGACACATGCTGCTTCCCCTTGAACACCAACACTTTGACCTCCCGGCACTTCTGATTCAGTGTTGGCATTCAAATCACGTATCTTGCTACTAGACTCCTGTATTTTAAAATAAAGAATACATTTCACAACCACAAAGCTTTTCACAACCAGTTTAAATGACAGCCAGCACATATGCATGTGGGTCTTCACTAGCTTACTATGCCTGTACAGCCAACCGTCCCGCTCCTACCATCCAAACTATTTTCAAATATAAACTTGCAGTTTTGTACTATGTCTTACTGGAATCAAATTTTGGATTCCAAACTGAGGAAAGCGTTTTCATAACCAACTATCTTATAAACAAACCAAAAGTGGCAAATCAAGGTTGCTGCTTAACATAAAACATTTGGTAAGAGTAGCTATATTTAAATCTCTTTTAAGCCTATTCAACCCAAGAGTTAAAGGTCAGATATAATAATTGATATTTTAAATACAGTCAACTTTTTAAGAACCACAAGATAAAAATAATTCTTACCAGAATCAAGTGTGACAATGTATCACTGTCAAATGACAAATATTCTTTCCTAAAAATTTAAGTAAAATTATTAGTGTTTTAAGGATAAAATGGTTACTATCATTGCATATTTCTTACCTAGAGTCCTCTCTTCCCTAATATAGTTAGCATTTACAATGTCAGAGGAGAAAATGACAACTGGATGTATGCCCATTCTTTGGAGCCCTATATCTGAAAATCAAACAATACTGAAAAGATCCACAGAATTACTTCAGGTTTAGAAAATTAAGTAATGTTCACCCCAACCACCACCCAAAAACTGAAAAAGTTTTTAAAAGGAAAAACAAAATTCACAATAAATAGAAACCAAAAAGAATGAATGTACAATAGAAAAGATTTTTTAAAAATAAATGTTATGTTTAACTAAACAGCTTTATTCTCCCCCATTCTAAGACATTTTTTGTCATTTAAAGAAGAGTTTTTAGAGATATAGCTATGTCTTTTATTTAAAATCTAAATCTGATTGTGTTCTGTCACAATCAGAAAAGGATAGTTCTAAATCTCTCCTTCCTCCAAACAGTAACATGTGAAAGGAAATTTTTAAGGATTTCAATTCATTTTATTCTCCCGCAAAAACTAACCCCTATTTAAAACAAGTGTTATAGCAAGTTGTCACAAATGGTCCCTGCCAATTTTATCAGTCAACAGAGCATCTGGTATTTATAGTAGGTTATCAATATGCCTACTGTGGGAAGTTTCTTTTCCCCAAAGACACTGTGGTAATTTACAATGATATATGCAGGTGCAGCTTCTACCTGGCCGTAACAGAATGTGAACTCAGAAGAGAGACCTTGATCTAAATATGGCAAGTTGTATCTCCTCATATACTTAACTACCTTATTCTTGCTGAGCACAGAAATGAACTAAATTCCCTGACAAGCTCAAAGGCCTCCTCTGCTTAGACTGGGAGCAAAATGGTGGGATGAGCTAAATTATACCCTAATAGACAAAAAGACCTAGTCACTTAAATTTGAGAAACATGAGTGTTAAGCATGCAAAACATAATCCACCTAATCAATGTACTCTTTGGATCCAAAAACACGTTTGCTAACCTACACATAAGTTGAAGAGGAAAGAGTTTTTTCCAAAAAGAGTGAGTTCTCACTAAATGGATGCTTATTGTGCTACCAAATCCAGATGTCATCATTCTGGGGATGCCTGTTAATGCTGTTTATCTTATATCTTCAGCCCATAACTCCAATACTCCCTGGGCTGGAAGAGGATCATGCCTGCCTCCTGAAAGGAAGCACAAGGAACTGCTGTAAGCAGAAAATCTGTGGACCTTCAGAGTATGGGGAAGCTCCAGAGACATGGCTCCAAAGAATTTACTTACCCTCAGAGAATAGGTTTCCTACTCACAATTAAGGGAGACAATGGCATTAACTCAAAGTTTACCCTTGCCAACAGGCTATCATCAGTTTAGTAATGCTGTTTGGGATTTCTCAATGTTTATAGCAGTTTAGCCTGCAACTTCATTACTGATGTTTTTCAGAATAGCAAATCATCTTTTCTAAGAAAGTTACATTTTTTTAACAGAGTCTTATCTTAAAGAATGATACAAAGGATAAATGACCTAAATCCTACTCAGTAAATTTAAAATATTCTAGAAAGCTTCTATTCAAAGGGCAGGTTGGTACTGAGATACTACATCTGGTTCCCAGCCGAAATACTCATTGCCTCAGGTATCTCCTTCCCATTACAACTGGCCAAGGAGGTAAACTAGCACCAGGTACATAATGCTGTACTGCGACACACCAAGGGTGAGTTCAAAGGGGGCTGGAAACATCCTGTACATATTTGTTGAAGTAAATGTTACCCATAATCTTTCAGCTAGTCATCAATATTTCCAAGACCATGAGTTAACTCACTGAAACATGTATTCAGAATATCAATAAAATCCCAACTCTTCTACAAATCAACTGCCAGTTTGAGTTGTCTCCAAGTGTTCTTCTCTCTGAAAAGCTTTCCAAGTTACAACTGGTGTTTTCGTCTGAACCTGCATTCCTTTGAATATTTAATATTCTCTATGCCTAAGACTAACAAGAAGCTTGATTTTGAGATTATCTAAACTGCATGTTATAATGGGTTCATTTAAAATTTTGACCCCAAAATCTGTGAATAGTTCCAATTCTCAAAATTATTAATTAGCAAAACAAAAAAGAAACTGTTTACCTTTCAAGACAGCCATCTTCACTATCACCCTGGTCACTGCATGGCTCTAAGAGTATACCTACAGACTGACAAAAAGAACACCACCATTGTATTGACAGCATTTCCAACAATGACATATGAGAGGAAATTTCCAATCTAAAGTAGGAGTATTAGATTACAGGTTAGCCAAAGCCTCTCTTTAGCTACCATTTATGATAGTCTGTAGATACTGGAATATCTTTTTACAGAGAGTAATTTATCTTCCCTCAAAACCTGAGTCAGGTACCCTGCACTTATCTCTACCCTATTATGTAATAGATACCACCACTATCACACCCATTCTCCTTCCTCAGCATTCTCTCCTCCAAAATCATCTTCCGGCCCCACTTGTCAACTGCTACTTCTTTTGCAATCCTCAGTCACAAACATATGTTGGTGATATTCAGCAGGTAACCTAAGAGTCATGTTTCAATTATACCTACTTCAAATATACCTTTAAAAGGTGTACTGATTTAGGTACATTTGCAATAGGAACTGTCTTATACATGGGGGTCCCTATGAACCTCAGAAACACATGAGGCCACTCCCTCAGTTTCCTTTGGGCTTAGTAACATCGCCCACTCCGACTCCCTCTATCAAATAAAAACCTACCAAGTCTAATACAAATACCCTGGCATTACTACAAAATATGTAAACTCTAGTATTTTTTATAATCATCTCTGAAATCAACAAGAGGCTCAATTCTTCTTAGATTCTTATATTCCTCTTAAGAAAGAGCACTTGTCCAGTTTAGTTTAGCTATCAAAAAGGGTCCATAATTACCTGAAAAAGCTATTAAAAATACTTCTCCCTTTTCTAACTACATACCTTTGATGCTGAATTTTCTTCATACACTTCAGATAAAACAACCTAAAGCAACAGATTGAATGCAGAAGTTGGCTTCTGTTAAGTCAGACAGACTAACAATATTTGTAAAAATTAAAACAATGTCACTCCTCTAACTGAAATATTTTTGATTTGGAAAATAGTTGTTTCTTATTTGAAAAAACAAAACAAAACAAACAAAAGAACCTTATTTATGTTACCATGAGTTTATTATTTTAAATGAATAAATGTTTTTTAAATTTATCAGTTTTAACTTGTAATATGGTAAATATTGAGATATAACCTATACAAACCAAACTTCTTTGTGATCCTCAATACTTTTTAAGAATATAAAGAGGTACTAAGACCAAAAGTTTGAGAACCATTGATTTAGAAATCCAGACGCCAACAAACTTTATCCTCTAGAGCACTGCTTTACATTCGTAAGTATGAAGGTTTCTGGGCACATGAAATAACCATTACCCAGACCCAATATTTAAAATGAGCCTTGGGGTCTTTACTCAAAGCATTAAACTTAAGTCCCAGCTCTTTCATCATCACAAAAATGAAAATAACAGTCACTTATTTGCCCACCTTACAATTATTCTGAGAGGATAAAAAGCATCAGCTTACAAGAAAAACTATAAAGCAGTATTATAAAAGCATACTATTACATCACCAACTCTTACTTAACCTACAATTCTTTTTACTATGAAATAACTGAAACAAAGACTGATATAATATCCATATACCCTCCAGTCAGAGTTAGGTAAGACATAATTCTTAAACTTGGTTTTCTAATAATGAAAATTAAAAGCAGTAAACAAAAGGGCAATTGGAAGCATTATAAAAAGAAAGATTCAGCGACAGAAAAGCAGACAGTCCAGCAGGAAAGAAGTATGGAATTCAGAGCCAGCTGCAGAACTGTGCTCTATATTATGACCCAGGACAAAAACCAAAGAGTCATTAGAGTGAGGTTAGAATATGGTGAGACTTCAATATGACAGGCAGAGAAATATATACAATACTTTCTTTAGAAACTACCTAAAATATGTTTCATCACTTTAGAAATTTTACTTCCTCAGAATTCATTCTATCTCAACATTCCTTTGTATATGAGTAGAAAAGAGTTTGGCTTTTCCAAAAATATCAGCTGGCAATATAATCCATACCTTCTCCCCTACCTCCTCCCAACTTGTCTTTCCACAAACATCAGGTCTTCAAAAAGAGGTCGAAGGCACTCAGGTCTCAATTCAGGTGGGCTAAGAGAGCTTTGGTGGTGGTGATGGCAGTGGCAGTAGTAGCAGCAGCACTTGCAGCACTAAGTAATATCACCAATATCTTAAGTGCTGTTGGGGCTCACTGCCAGGAGCTACTTAAACCCCAGTGGGCATTTCTAGTAATTTCTCTGGTCTTCACCCATTCATTAGCCACCCAACATAAGTGGTGCTTCCACAGTGCTTAATTCTGTATCCTCTCATCTAGTTTGTTCAAGCATGCTAGCTACTTGTTTTAAACAGGCTTAAATATCCCCCACTCCATTTTGCATTTTTGTTTAGCAAACTCTTAACTGTTGTTAGCTGCCATCGAGTCAGTTCCAACTTATGGTGACCCTATGTGTGCAGAGTAGAACTACTCCACAGGGTTTTCAAGGCTGTGACCTTTCAGAAGCAGATTGGCAGGTCTGTCTCCCAAGGCACCTCTGGGTGTATCAGAACTACCACCTTTCAGCTAGTAGTCTAATGCTTAACCGTTTGTGCCACCCAATCCAGCTCGTTCTCTTCCACTGAATTATTATGGTCAAAATTGATGAGGTCTCATGATAGTAATTAGAATTTCTCAAATATTTCTGGCCTCCTGAGAGGAGGTGACTACTTTCTAGCAGTTTCTCAGTATTTAAAAGATATGAATAATTATAAGTTTGGGGGCACCACCACTGAAGGCCTGCTAAGCCCTGAAATGGATAGACTTCATGGAAAGTTTACTGACAAGTCCAGGTATTTTGATGTGAACTCTAAAAATTAAGTTACTGATCTTCACAGTTTTCAACCCCCTAAAATAGTCCAAATTACTATACAATGTTGTACTTATTTAAAATCTATAGAGACCAATCTCTCTGTATCAGTACAAAAATCCTAAATAAGATATTTACTACAGAATCCATCAGCACATAAAAGTACTATGACTAAGTGGGACTGAATTTAGAAATGGAAGGACAGTTGAATAAGAAAATTTATTAATACAATCTGTCACATTAATAAAGAGAAAAAGATTATGATTATGTTCATAGATGCTGAAAAAGCATTTGATTAAAATTCATTAGTCATTCTTGATACAAATGCTAAACAAATATGAAAAGGGATCTACTGCCTCAACAAGATAAAGTATGTGTACCTCAACCAAAAAGCCAGCATCGAAATTAACATGAAAACATTAGAAATATACCTATTTAAAGACAGGATTAACAAAAGGATGTCCACTCTCACCAGGATTATTAAAAGTGGTTCTGGAGGTACTAGTCAGCCAATGCAAGCAAACAAGAAGAATAAATTAGAGGTATGAAAACCAAACAGAAGGTAAAATATCAGTATTTATAGATCACATAACTGTATTCCTAGAAAACCCAACAGAAGAATCAACTGAAAAACTATTAAAGTATGAAGGAAATTCCACTGATAAAACAATAATAAACAGAAGTTAACAACTTTCACATATACTAGTAAGAACCAACCAGAACCACTACATGACCACTAGGTTGGCTATGATAAAAAAGAGAATAACAAGAGTTGGCAAGAACGTGGAGAAACTGGAATTGTAAAATGGTGGAGCAGCTTTGGAAAACAATTTGGTAGTTCCTCAAAAGATTAAACGTAGAGTTACCATAAGACCCAAATTCCACTTGGATCTATACTCAAGGAGGAGTGCTCTGTGGCTAACCAAAAGGTCGGCAGTTCAAATCCACCAGCCACTCCACAGGAGAAATACACAGCAGTCTGCTTCTGTAAAGATTATAGCCATAGAAACTCTATGGAGTAGTTCTACCCTGTTGTAATAGGGTCAAGAGGAGTTGAAATAAACTCGACCGCAATGGGTTTTTTTATATACCCAAGAGAACTGACAACAAATGTCTACACAAAACCTTGTATATGAATGTTCATAACAGCATTTTTCATAATAGTCAACAGGTGGAAACAACCCAAATGTCCATCAATGGAAAAATAAAATGTGGTATATCCATACAATGGAATGTAATTCAGCTATAAAAAGGAATGAAGTAGTGATACATGCTACAACATGGATGAATCTTGAAAACACTATACTAAGTGAAATAAGCCAGTCAAAAAAAACCACATATTACGTGATTCCATTTATGTGAAACGCCAGAATAGGTAAATCTATGGAGACAAAGTAGACTGGTGTCTGCCTAGGGCCTGGGGCATTAGGAGAAAATGGGGAATGACAACTAATCGGTACGGGTTTTCTTTTGAGGGTGATGAAAACGTTCTAAAAATTGGTTGTGGTGATGGCTGCACAATCTACGAATATACTAAAAACCCTCAAATTGTACACTCTAAATAGCTGAATTTTATGGTATGTGATTTAAATCTCAATAAAGCTGTTTTTTTAAAAAAAACCTATCAAAGAATGAAAGAAAAAACACCATTTACCATAACAACAAAACAGATCAAATATCTAGGAATAAATTTAAGAAATGTGCAAGAACTATAAAGTTTATAATGCCCCTAAAAGATATTTAAAAAAAGACAAACAAATGGTAAGTATACCATGCTCCTGGAGAGAATGACTCAAAATCATAAAGATATTACTCCAGAAATTAACCTATAAACATAAAGTAATTGCAATAAAACCATTTAACAGGATTTTGTTTAATTTTTAACAGGGTAAAAGTCCATATAAAAAAAAATAAAATTTTGAAAAAGAGTAATGAGGGGGTACTAGCTCTGCCAGAGACTAAAGTATATTATGAAGCTATTGGTATTGGTACAGGAACAGAAGACAGATCAATGAAACAGAACAGAAAAACCAGAAACACACCCAAATTTATGTAGTTATTTAGTTTATAATAAAGGTGGCATTTCAACTCAGTGGGGAAAAGACAGCTTATTCAATAAATTCATGTGTTGGGACAATTAGGTAAACATCTAGAAAAAAAGCTGAATACATTCTTCATACCTTACACCAAATGGGTCAAATATTTAAATGTGGAAACAAAACTACAGAAGTATTTTTTGAAAAAAGAAGAAAATTAGTTTATAATCTCAGAGTAGGGAAGGCCTTTTTAACTGTGACAGAAAACCTAAAATCCATAAAAAGAAAAAAAACTGATAAAATTGAATACTGTCAAAATGACCTTAAGCAGTCAAAAGACAACAAACTGAAGTCTAATATTTGCAACTCATCACCCAGAAAAGGGGTAAGTTCCTTAATAAATAAAAAGTGTCTATAAATCAATAAGAAAAAAAGCCAACAACCCAATAGAAAAGTGTGCAAAAGAAACAGACAACTGGAAATAGAAATGACTCTTAACATTCTGGAGTCCAGGGAAGTTTAAGTCTAGATAGAACATTTCTATGAAAATGAAAATTTACAAGTTTCACTTACTAGACTGTAATGAAAAATTTGCTATTAAAGTGAGGGCACAGTGAAATAAGTACTCCTATATACTGCTTAGCAACCTGCAATACACAGATGACACAACTTACTTGCTAACAGTGAAGACGCCTTGAAGCACTTACTGGTGAAGATAAAAAAAAGTGCAGCCTTCAGTATGGATTGCACCGCAACATAAAGAAAACAAAAATCCTCACAACTGGACCAATAAGCAACATCATGATAAACAAGGAAAATGTTGAAGTTGTAAAGGATTTCATTTTACTTAGATCCACAATCAATGACTATGGAAACAGCAGTGAAAAAAATCAAACAATGCACTGCACTGAGCAAATCTGCTGCAAAAGACCACTTTAAAGTGTTAAAAAGCAAAGATGTCACTTTGAGGACTAAGGTGTGCCTGACCCAAGCCA